GTGGGTTACGTGTGCGTTGTGTTTGTGTGTGATGTGGGTTACGTGTGTGTTGTGTTTGTGTGTGATGTGGGTCACATGTGTGATGTGGGTTACGTGTGCGTTGTGTTTGTGTGTGATGTGGGTTTTGTGTGTGATGTGTTTGTGTGTGATGTGGGTTACGTGTGCGTTGTGTTTGTGTGTGTGTGTGTGTTATGTGGGTTACGTGTGTGTGTTGTGTTGATGTGGGTTACGTGTGTGTTGTGTGTTTGTGTGTGATGTGGGTTACGTGTGCGTTGTGTTTGTGTGTGATGTGGGTTACGTGTGTGATGTGTTTGTGTGTTGTGTGTGGGTTGTGTGTGATGTGGGTTACGTGTGCGTTGTGTTTGTGTGTGATGTGGGTTTTGTGTGTGATGTGTTTGTGTGTGATGTGGGTCACATGTGTGTTGTGGGTTATGTGTGCGTTGTGTTTGTGTGTGATGTGGGTTACGTGTGCGTTGTGTTTGTGTGTGATGTGGGTTACGTGTGTGATGTGTTTGTGTGTGATGTGGGTCACATGTGTGATGTGGGTTACGTGTGCGTTGTGTTGTGTGTGTGGGTTTGTGTGTGATGTGTTTGTGTGTGATGTGGTTATGTGTGCGTGTGTGTTGTGGGTTACGTGTGCGTTGTGTTTGTGTGTTTGATGTGGGTTACGTGTGGTGTTGTGTGTGTGTGTGATGTGGGTTACGTGTGTGTTGTGTTTGTGTGTGATGTGGGTTACGTGTGCGTTGTGTTTGTGTGTGATGTGGGTTACGTGTGCGTTGTGTTTGTGTGTGATGTGGGTTACGTGTGCGTTGTGTTTGTGTGTGATGTGGGTTACGTGTGCGTTGTGTTTGTGTGTGATGTGGGTTACGTGTGTGTGTTGTGTTTGTGTGTGATGTGGGTTACGTGTGCGTTGTGTTTGTGTGTGATGTGGGTTACGTGTGTGTTGTGTTTGTGTGTGATGTGGGTTACGTGTGCGTTGTGTTTGTGTGTGATGTGGGTTACGTGTGCGTTGTGTTTGTGTGTGATGTGGGTGATGTGTGTTTGTGTGTGATGTGGGTCACATGTGTGATGTGGGTTACGTGTGCGTTGTGTTTGTGTGTGATGTGGGTTTTGTGTGTGATGTGTTTGTGTGTGTGGTTTACGTGTGCGTTGTGTTTGTGTGTGATGTGGGTTACGTGTGCGTTGTGTTTGTGTGTGATGTGGGTTAGTGTGTGCGTGTGTGTTGTGTTTGTGTGTGATGGGTTACGTGTGTGTTGTGTTGTGTGTGTGATGTGGGTGTGGGTCACATGTGTGATGTGGGTTACGTGTGCGTTGTGTTTGTGTGTGTGTGATGTGGGTCACATGTGTGATGTGGGTTACGTGTGCGTTGTGTTTGTGTGTGATGTGGGTTTTGTGTGTGATGTGTTTGTGTGTGATGTGGGTTACGTGTGCGTTGTGTTTGTGTGTGATGTGGGTTACGTGTGTGTTGTGTGATGTGGGTTAAATGTGCGTTGTATTTGTGTGTGATGTGGGTTACGTGTGCGTTGTGTTTGTGTGTGATGTGGGTTACGTGTGCGTTGTGTTTGTGTGTGATGTGGGTTACGTGTGTGATGTGGGTTACGTGTGCGTTGTGTTTGTGTGTGATGTGGGTTACGTGTGCGTTGTGTTTGTGTGTGTGATGTGTGGGTTACGTGTGCGTTGTGTTTGTGTGTGATGTGGGTTACGTGTGCGTTGTGTTTGTGTGTGATGTGGGTTACATGTGCATTGTGTTTGTGTGTGATGTGGGTTACGTGTGCGTTGTGTTTGTATGTGATGTGGGTTACGTGTGCGTTGTGTGATGTGGGTTACGTGTGCGTTGTGTTTGTGTGTGATGTGGGTTACGTGTGCGTTGTGTTTGTATGTGATGTGGGTTACGTGTGCGTTGTGTTTGTGTGTGATGTGGGTTACGTGTGTGTTGTGTTTGTATGTGATGTGGTTACGTGTGCGTGTTGTGATGTGTTACGTGTGTGTATGTTGTGGGTTACGTGTGATGTGGACGTGTGCGTTGTGTTTGTGTTGTGTGATGTGGGTTACGTGTGCGTTTGTGTTGTGTGTGATGTGGGTTGGTGTGCGTGTGTTTGTGTGTGATGTGGGTTACGTGTGCGTTGTGTTTGTGTGTGATGTGGGTTACGTGTGCGTTGTGTTTGTTGTGTGTGATGTGGGTTACGTGTGCGTTGTGTTTGTGTGTGATGTGGGTTACGTGTGCGTTGTGTTTGTATGTGATGTGGGTTACGTGTGCGTGTTGTGTGTGATGTGGGTTACGTGTGCGTTGTGTTTGTGTGTGATGTGGGTTACGTGTGTGTGTGTGTGTTTGTGTGTGATGTGGGTTACGTGTGCGTTGTGTTTGTGTGTGATGTGGGTTACGTGTGCGTTGTGTTTGTGTGTGATGTGGGTTACGTGTGTGTGTGTTTGTGTGTGTGATGTGGGTTACGTGTGTGTTGTGTGATTGTGGGTTACGTGTGCGTTGTGTTTGTGTGTGATGTGGGTTACGTGTGTGTGTGTGTTGTGTGTGATGTGGGTTACGTGTGTGCGTTGTGTTGTGTGTGATGTGGGTTACGTGTGGTGTGTGTTTGTGTGTGATGTGGTTACGTGTGCGTTGTGTGATGTGGGTTACGTGTGCGTTGTGTTTGTGTGTGATGTGGGTTACGTGTGTGTTGTGTGATGTGGGTTACGTGTGCGTTGTGTTTGTGTGTGATGTGGGTTACGTGTGTGTGTGTGTTTGTGTGTGATGTGGGTTACGTGTGCGTTGTGTTTGTGTGTGATGTGGGTTACGTGTGCGTTGTGTTTGTGTGTGATGTGGGTTACGTGTGCGTGGTGTTTGTGTGTGATGTGGGTTACGTGTGTGTGACTGATTCTGGGCGTTGTGGTTTTCAGTTTCCTGAGTCGTCATCGTCATAGAAGCAATAACAGCGTCAAATGTGAAAGTGTCACCTCAGAATTTCTATGGAACAAGGGAAACGTGTCGTCCACAGGGTGACCAGAGTTTCAAAATAAAAAACTGGAACGTTGTTATATCCACGTAAACTTTATAGAAATATATTACTCAAAGGCAGGAGTGATGCTCAAACATGTGCTTTACTCAGTTTCTCACAGTCATTCAAAAAAAAAAAAAACAATGTCCGGATTACCCATCATGCACATAAACATCATCTAGTGTGTTCAAGAAGGGACAAACATAATGTAGAAGAGCGGCGTATTTTTAAGTGCACTAAATGTAGTAAAATGACCAACAATGTGACACCAGGACACAGTATTTTCCCACCCACTACAGGCACACAGGTTTGTTGACTGAATATGACATGAGACTTGAACATACTTTACATTGTGAGGAGAAAATTCAGTTTGTCGACTGGACAAAAGTTAGTTTGGTTGAAGATGTTTCGCAGCTCATCCAAGCTGCTTCTTCAGTTCTGGTCAGACGCTGGTGACTTCCTTATATCTGCAGGGAGGAGCTAACTACACTGAAACTACTCTGAAACTAACACACACTTGTTTACAGTTTCTGTTTGTTAGTTCGGCCTGTTGACCTGTACAGGGTGTGGGGTCTAATTAGTATCATTATGCAGGACCATAATGGAGCTTCCACACCTCTGGACCTGACCTGGATACACCTGTTGTTCTTGTTTGTTTTGATTTAGGTTTGAGGATGGACGTGTAAATAGGAGACAGATGGTGTCTGAGTCCATTTCTGTCTAGAGAAGGATTTTCTTTCTTAACAAAAACAGCTTCTTTCACTCTCCTCTCAAACCAATTCTTTTCTCTGACTAAAATCTGTACCTCGCTGTGCTCAAATGAGAGGCCCGTGACTTTTAAGTGGAGATGTACATGAGACTGAGGTCCTGTGTTGCTCCCTCGTCTGTGTTGGTTCATCCTTTTGTGAAGTGTCTGTTTAGTTTCTCCAGTGTCGCGTTCACTGCAGTCTTCACTGCACTGAATGGAGTAGGCCACATTGTTTTTTTTGTGGCTTGGTGTTTTGTCCTTTGGTTAGACCAGTTTCTGTCTTAAAGTGTTCGTAGGTTTGAAATAAACCGGGATCTCACATTGTCTGAAAATCCTCTGTAGTTCTTCTGAAACACCAGCCATGTAGGGAATAGTTACCCCCTTTTTCCTGGGTTCTGATTCTCTGTTGTTCTTGGTCTACAGAGAATTTTGTCCAGAGAACCATATTGAGAACACAGCCGAATTTGTGAACAAAATCAAACATCTCCGGTTCAACCTGGACAAGACAATGGTTTCCTTTGATGTGACGTCTCTTTTCACGTGGGGCCGGGGAATCCATGTATCGTTTATTCGTTTTTCAATATAAAACCAAAGTAAGAAAACGAAATAACAACTATTTTCTTCATTATTTGTCTCCAAAACCAAAATGAAAAAAGAGATAATTAGTTTTTTCAGTTTTCGATTTTGTGTTTAAATCCAAAATAGAAAAACTGGATAACAGACTAAACCAGGACTGAAACAGGTCCGGGACCAGATCGGGACTGAGATCAGGACTGAGGCCGGGACCAGACCATGATTGAGACTGGGACTAGACCGGTACCAGGCCAGGACTGAAAACGTTTCAGTCCTGGTTCAGTCTGTTATCCGTTTTTTCCATTATTCATTTAAACTTTTTTTTTGTTTGTCGTGTATTTGTCACTATATTGTGTCTTAAAACTTCACAAAATTCATCAAATGAAATAAAAAAAGCACCATAAACAGACAGGGCCATGAAAATCACATCATTCTGAGCTGTGAGAAGGGTTTTTTATCACAGAAAAAAATGCTGATGACGTTTAAAAAGAGGCAGAATTCTCATAAACAGGCTGATAATGCAACTAATGGAGTTTTAATGTGAGGACTACATTACCCACGATGCATCTCTCCAGGTCTCAGTGTCTCTGGAGCGAGGAGATTCTGATGGAGAGTGGACTCCTTAGTAACAAAATCGAGTTTGAAATTTTAGTAATGAAAACTAAACCAGACAAATGAAATGAACAGAGTCACTGAAAAGAGTTTTTATTCAGTCAGATTTCACATTATTTTAACAAACTAAAGGAGTGCGTTTTATATTTTTGCATTGAGTTCTGCAGCAACATTCAAAACATTCAGGTTCAAAAAACACCTTCAGATTCAGTCATGGACAAACAGAATAAATAAAATAAAATATTGATCTTTTTAAAACAAAAAACAGGAGTCGTTTTGTGGAGACTTAAAGGCACAAGAAATGTAACGTGGAGTGTTTGAAAATGTGTTTTATAAATCAGTTTTGTTCTGTAAATTTAAATAGAGAGGTTTGGGTTTAGACCTGGTTTAAGAGCTGGTTTAGACCGGGTTCAGACCGGGTTCAGTGCTTGCTTAGTCCAGGTTAACCACTCTGCCACAGTAACACGGGGAGGAGTGAATGATTTTAAGTGTCTGTGTTTGGAGGGAGCAGAGGAAGAGGAGGAGCAGAGGAAGAGGAGGAGGTCAGTCAGTCTCTCTGAGTCCACAGCGGCGTCTGAACTCTTGTCCGCGCTCGTGAATCCATTTATTAGAAACTGGGAAACAAAAACAAAACAATCTGAAGTCTTTTCAGCTGGATGTATATGACCTGTATATTATATATGTTTAAAAATTCCAGAACAAAACGAACATCTTTGCACCGATTTCCTCACGATCTCATAGAAATATTTTTATTAATCCATTTCTATGTTTTATTTTGACTTGTACATTTACATTTATATAATTCTGACTTATTTGACACGTGTCTCTTGCTATTTTTTGCTGCTTAGAATGTATTATTATCATTTATATTTTTCCTCTTTGTGATTATAATATATTGTAATGTGTGAGTTAAAGTTCGTCTAAGTCTAAGAAAAGTACAGATGTGTGACAGGTGACACTGACCCCACTTGTTCCCGAGCAGCACTGGACACGCGGCGTGACGAGTGCGGTAGTCTCCCTCTCCACTGGGGTACAGGTTATACCAGAACACCGCAGAGCCCTACACACAAATATATCACATACTTAGAATAAAAAAAATAATACACATATATACACGTAACACTGGGGTACAGGTTAAACCCCACCACTGAGCCCTGGAGACTAATATATTATAATAAAACAAAACATAATATAATAAAGTATAATATAATATTAATATAACCTACACAATATAACACTGGGGTACAGGTTAAACCCCACCACTGAGCCCTGGAGACTAATATAATGTAATGTAATGTGATATGATGTAATATAATATTAATGTAACATACACAATATAACACTGGGGTACAGGTTAAACCAGAACACCGCAGAACCCTACACACAAATATATCACATACTTATAATAAAAATAATAATACACATATATTCATGTCACACTGGGGTACAAGTTTTACCAGAACACCACTGAGCCCTGGAGACTAATATATTATAATAAAACAAAACATAATATAATGTATAATATAATATTAATATAACCTACACAATATAACACTGGGGTACAGGTTAAACCAGAACACCGCAGAACCCTACACACAAATATATCACATACTTATAATTAAGGGTGTGTAAAAATATCTAAATATCAATACATGGTATCTTTTTATGTGCTGACACAGTATCGATATCGTGTGCTGCTGTATCGATATATCACCAAGAGGTTTTTTTTTGTTTTTGTTTATTTTACTAAATTATTTTATTACAGCTACAATTTTGTTGTTTGTTCAGATGAAGGAAACTCGTTTATGCGACACATTTGACATTTTCACGTTTTGATGATTAAAATGTTTGTGTTTCATATGAACTTTGCACAAGAAGAAGTGATTTAATAAAGACTTTTAGTATCACAGACATGATTTAGCCTTTATTTTCATTGAATCATATCGAATTGATTTGAAATATATTGTATTGAATCGAAAGTGCACTGTATCGAGATATGTATCGTATCAGCAACTTCTGAATGATACCAACCCTACTAATACTAATACTAATACTAATACTAATACTAATACCAATACTAATACTAATACTAATACTAATACACACACGTCACACTGGGGTACAGGTTTTACCAAAACACTGCTGAGCCCTGGAGACTAATATATCATATTCTTGTAATACTAATACTAATGCATATATATACATTTATTTATTTAAAACAAGGGCAGTGCACAGAAAACATTAATCTCAGACAGAAAAGATGCTCTGTGCCAGATTTAACTCAAACTCGTCTCCATCTGCAGTCGTCAGGCAGGTACAAGAAACTATTTACATTAAACCAACTCTAACAGCAACATTTCATCAGTAACTGTGTCTCCTTGAGCAAGATAAATACTTAAAACTAAGCTAAAATAATAATATATAGAATATAGAATATACAGAACATAGAATATCTTCTAAAATGACCATTAATGAAATGTCATGAGTCAAACAGCACACGTTTACATCACTGGGTACAGGATAAACCCCAGGCCACATATGAGTCAGGTCTGTGGAGAGGCAAACCCGCTCACAGTAAGGACACATGTTTTTGTTTGTCTATTTCATGGCTAAAATGTTACATACTGAGGCTTTAATATGAATATAAAATCAAATGTACCTTCTTTGGTTTAATGGACGCTCCGATGTCTGTGAAGACTGTGGCGCCCCCTGCCTGCACATCACTCATCTGCAGCAGAGGAAATATGAGTCTTTACAAAGTGAATTTACATAAAAATAAAAGTGTACAGAAGAGTTTTCCTCACATAGAGAAGCCACGTGGCGATACGATTCCCCGTCCCCAACTCCTCAAACGCATCCGGCTCATCCTTCTACAAAACACAAGACGACAGGGTCAGAAGAGAAGAGGGTCAGAAGAAGAGAAGAGCAGAGGGTCAGAAGAAGAGAAGAGGAGAGGGTCAGAAGAAGAGAAGAGCAGAGGGTCAGAAGAAGAGAAGAGGAGAGGGTCAGAAGAAGAAGAGAAGAGCAGAGGGTCAGAAGAAAGAGAAGAGGAGAGGGTCAGAAGAAGAGAAGAGGAGAGGGTCAGAAGAAAAGAAGAGCAGAGGGTCAGAAGAAAAGAAGAGGAGAGGGTCAGAAGAAAAGAAGAGGAGAGGGTCAGAAGAAAAGAAGAGGAGAGGGTCAGAAGAAAAGAAGAGGAGAGGGTCAGAAGAAGAGAAGAGGAGAGGGTCAGAAGAAGAGAAGAGGAGAGGAGTCAGAAGAAAAGAAGAGAGGGTCAGAAGAAGAGAAGAGGAGAGGGTCAGAAGAAGAGAAGAGGAGAGGGTCAGAAGAAAAGAAGAGGAGAGGGTCAGAAGAAAAGAAGAGGAGAGGGTCAGAAGAAGAGAAGAGGAGAGGGTCAGAAGAAGAGAAGAGGAGAGGGTCAGAAGAAGAGAAGAGGAGAGGGTCAGAAGAAAAGAAGAGGAGAGAGTCAGAAGAAAAGAAGAGGAGAGGATCAGAAGAAAAGAAGAGGAGAGGGTCAGAAGAAGAGAAGAGGAGAGGGTCAGAAGAAGAGAAGAGGAGAGGGTCAGAAGAAGAGAAGAAGAGAGGGTCAGAGTCTTACTCGTCCAAAATCAAAGTGTGGTTCATATTGTCCCCCAACGCCGTAGTTCGCCACCTAAAAAACAGTGTCAAAACATTGATTACAACAAAATAAGTTATAAGTAAGTACATATATATATATATATATATATATATATATATATATATATATATATATATATATATATATATATATATATATATATAAATAATTTGGCTCTAGTTGTACTCGTGTGTATATTTAGCGTCTGTGACCTGCAGATCTTCGGCTGTGGAAACGTCGAGTCCCGTCACCGCCTCAATCCTCCAGTTTATCTGATCCACCACCGGGTGTTCAAAAGACCCCAACCACGCACTGGAAACACAGACACATGTGAGTACTACTACTACTACTACTGCTACTGCTACTACCACAACCACGCACTGGAAACACAGACACATGTGAGTACTACTGCTACTACTACTGCTACTGCTACTACCACAAACCACGCACTGGAAACACAGACACATGTGAGTATTACTGCTACTGCTACTGCTACTGCTACTGCTACTGCTACTGCTACTGCTACTGCTACCACCACAACCACACACTGAAAACACTCGTATATCTCTGTGTTTATATATATATATATATATACACAGAGATATAGGAGTACTACACACAGAAAGGCCAGGTGTGCTGGGACCAGGACTAAACCAGGACTAAGCAGGACCTAACAGGTCTGACCTCTTGGAGACCCTGTAGTGGGCGGTGGTGAGTTTTCCCGTCTGGGGGTCGTGGACTGTGGCTCGTTTCAGCTGCAGCGAAAAACAAAATGAACAAAATCAGGACAATATTAAATATTAAATAAAACATTTAGATAGAGAAGTGTGTGTGTGTTTGTGTGTGTGTGTGTGTGTTGTTTGTGTGTGTTTGTGTGTGTTTGTGTGTGTGTTGTTTGTGTTTGTGTGTGTGTGTGTTTGTTTGTGTGTGTTTGTGTGTGTTTGCGTGTGTGTTTGCGTGTGTGTTTGTGTGTGTTTGTGTGTGTGTTTGTGTGTGTTTGTGTGTTGTGTGTGTTTGCGTGTGTTTGTGTGTGTTTGCGTGTGTTTGCGTGTGTGTTTGCGTGTGTGTTTGCGTGTGTTTTGTGTGTGTGTTTGCGTGTGTTTGTGTGTGTGTTTGTGTTTGTGTGTGTTTGCGTGTGTTTGTGTGTGTGTTTGTGTGTGTGTTTGTGTGTGTGTGTGTGTGTTGCGTGTGTGTGTTTGTGTGTGTGTGTTTGCGTGTGTGTTTGCGTGTGTGTGTGTGTTTGCGTGTGTGTTTGTGTGTGTGTGTGTTTGCGTGTGTGTTTGTGTGTTGTGTGTGTTTGCGTGTGTGTGTGTGTTTGCGTGTGTGTTTGTGTGTGTGTGTGTGTGTTGCGTGTGTGTTTGTGTGTGTTGCGTGTGTTTGTGTGTGTGTGTGTGTTGTGTGTGTGTTTGTGTGTGTTTGCGTGTGTTTGTGTGTGTGTGTGTGTGTTTGCGTGTGTTTGTGTTTGTGTGTGTTTGTGTTGTGTGTTTGTGTGTGTGTGTGTGTTGCGTGTGTGTTTGCGTGTGTGTGTGTGTGTGTGTGTGTGTGTGTTTGCGTGTGTGTGTTGTGTGTGTGTGTGTTGCGTGTGTGTTTGTTTGCGTGTGTGTTTGTGTCTGTGTGTGTTGTGTGTGTGTTTGCGTGTGTGTTTGTGTGTGTGTTTGCGTGTGTTTGTGTGTGTTTGCGTGTGTGTTTGTGTGTGTGTTTGCGTGTGTTTGTGTTTGTGTGTGTTTGCGTGTGTGTTTGTGTGTTTGTGTGTGTGTGTTTGTGTTTCTCACTCGCGGCGTGGCGAGCTCTTTGACTCGTTCCATCTCGCGCTCTGAGACGACGTCGTGGTAACGCAGGATCAGGGGGCGGTCCCACTCCTCCTCCTCTTTGACCGGACCAATCAGGAGGCTCGGATGGCCGTTGTTGTCATGGTAACGGCAGAAGAGGCGGCTCTGTCTCCGAGGAGTCTGAGACACAGAGGAGTAGAGAGTCAGGTGCCCTCCCCGTGCGTCGGGTGCCCTCCCCGTGCGTCGGGTGCCCTCCCCGTGCGTCGGGTGCCCTCCCCGTGCGTCGGGTGCCCTCCCCGTGCGTCGGGTCCCTCCCCGTGCGTCGGGTGCCCTCCCCGTGCGTCGGGTGCCCTCCCCGTGCGTCGGGTGCCCTCCCCGTGCGTCAGGTGCCCTCCCTCACCATCCGGATGCCCTCTCCTCTGCACAGTGTCTCGTAGGCCTTCCTCTCGGGCAGGTAGTCGTCGGAGTGCTCCTTGTCTGCACCTGTCGCCTCTGCACCTGTCGCCTCTGCTCCTGTCTGTTGGTGGCGTTTGGAGAGCTGGTACTCAAAGTACTTCAGGTTCCCCTTCGCTCGCTGATGAGAAGGATCTGAAACCAGAGGGAAAACGGTTCAGATCCTGAAGAGACTGAATCAGAACTGAACCAGGACTAAACCAGAAACAAATCAGGGAAAAATCTGGATTAAACCTGGACTTAACTCTTACTGAACCCGGACCAAACCAGGACTGAACCAGGACTGAACCAGAAAGAAACTAGAATCAAATCAGGGCACAACTAAACCAGGACTAAACCAAGACTGAACCCAGACTAAACCAGGACCGTACCGAGCTGCAGTAGTCTTTTGGTGTAGTGCAGTGCCTTCTCTAGCGCCCCCTGCTGGTACAAAGAGTAGCTGAGGTAGTCCAGGATGGTCTGCGCGTCCACAGACCCGGTCTTGGTCTCGGTCTCTGTCCCGGTCTGGGCCTCGGTCTGCAGCTGTTTCAGGGCCTGTTCCATCCACAGCGTCGTGTGGAGATAGTCCGCCTCGGTGTAGGCCACTCTGCCCAGGTCGAAGCAGTCCTCAGCCGAGAGACCAGGGGACAGGGAGGGGTCAGAGGTCAGGGAGGGGTCAGAGGTCAAGGAGGAGGTGCCTGTGGACAAGGTCAAAACATCTTAGACAAATGTGTAGGTTTGCATAGGGACGATGGGGACACGTCAATATTTGGGGAAGACAAAATAGTTCCTACTAATATTTGCTATTTTATTTTAATAAACAATATACATTTATTCCGATATTTTTTCAGACTCAGTAGTGTTAATTGAACATGTTTTAGTTCACATTTTGTTTCTTAGACGTTCTGAGATGTGTTCAGTGATATGACGACAGGGTTACACCTGCCGCTGTTTCATTGGCTGTAACAGAGTGATGTCATTAGTGGAGCCAGGAGCCTAATCTGGGGAAGCGGCAGGACAGGGTCGCACCTGACGATGGCGGCTTGAGCAGACGTAAGTGAAGACGCTGCACCAAACTCTGAAAAACTTTTCAAAAGGAACTTAGGCTACGTTCAGACTGCAGGGCTTAACGCTCAATTATGACTTTTTTGTGAAATCCAATGTTTTTTTGCGACGACGTCAACCGCAGCGAGCGTCTCTGTGTTTACGGAAGTTGTCCAAACATGGACGCAGCATCGAGCACCTGGAGATTTTAAAGTTCCTCTTGTACCGGAGCCAGAACATGAACAACTTACTTGTTTTAAGGAGGAGATTGAGAAGGAGAAGGACGAGGTTTTTGGTCGTGGTGTTTTGTGGTTCAGTCCGTTGAAATGAACGTGTGAATGTGGAGACGGAGCCAAGAGTGGTGAGTGGTGATGTGCTTCACTTCAGTGACACGGAGTTCATTAACAGTTTTCGCCGACTTCAGCGCAGAATAGTGACGTTTGTGTCTTGTTGATAACGTGTAGGTGGATGGATGCACTTTGGCCGTTCACACTGAAGCACATGTCAAAAGATCAGATATGTATCAGTTTCAGGAGCACATATCCAAGTGTCCTGGGTCACATTTGAAAAAATCGGATCTGTGCTGTTCAGACTGACATTAAAAGATCAGATACAGGAACATAGAGACAAAAAATCGGATTTGGGTCACTTCAGGCTGCAGTCTGAACGCAGCCTTACTCTCATAACTCATAACTCTCTGTATGTTGCATTGACCAGGCCCAGCTCAGCCACCTGCAGGGTCCAGAAGGCAGCAGCTCGACTTTTAACTGGAAAGAAGCGGAGGGACACATGTCTCCTGTTCTTAACTCCCTGCACTGGCTCCCTGTACATTTTAGAATCCATTTTAAAATTATAATGATTGTTTTTAAGAGTCTTAATGGCACCTTCCTATTTATTTGAACTCCTTCAGCCCCATGTCCCGTCCAGAGGTCTGCAGGACCAGACTGAGGACCAGAGGAGACAGGACCTTCTCTGTGGTCGGTCCACGACTGTGGAACATTTTAACATTGCACATTAGAACTGCACAGTCACTGGAGCACTTGCTCAAAACGCTCCTTTTCTCCCGGACATTTGCTGCAGTCAGGAAGAGACACTTGGCACCCTGCTGTTATTATGAATATTATATACACAAACTTCAACATCGCTGTTATCTGCTAAACAATCATCTCAGAAGGACGATGGACACAAACTTGACATTTTGCGAACTGAAAAATGAAACCACTTCTTACTTATTGTAGACCTGCCCAGACTCTGTGTTTTTGGAAAGAATTAATAAAACATATACGCAGCTTCTTGTCCTATTTGACCCTTTTCTTATAAAGACGAGCTGTTTGTTTTTTGCAGTGTCCATCATACGAAAAGTAACAATAATAAAGAATGAATCTGTTAATTAAGTCAAATATCAGATGGTTTTATGGGGGCAGTAGTAGTAGTAGTAGTAGTAGTAGTAGTAGTAGTAGTAGTAGTACCTGTCAGTCTCCCTGTTGCTATGGTTTCCGTGTCGAGTTTGTACGTGTCCTGGAGTCGGATCAGGGCGTTGGCGGCTCCGGTTTGATCCTCGTCCGTCGGGAAAAACTGTCTCTGGATCGTCAGGTTTGTAATGAAACCTGGAAACACGACGAGACAAAGATCAGAAACCTGAGTCTGGACCAGGACTGGAGCAGGACTAAACCAGGACTAAACCAGGACTAAACCAGGACTAAACCAGGACCAAATGAGGAATGAACCAGGACCTAACCAGGACTAAAATATGACTAAACCAGGACTAAACCGGGTCTAGCAGGTGGTACCGTCGCTCATGTCGGTGAGCACTAGCGCCTCCAGCTGGCTCCACTCGGTGTTGAGTCTCTTGATGAGTTTGAAGGCGTTCACCGGGTTCCCCAGAAACAGCTCAGGGTCAAAGGTCGCGGCGGAGGACAGCGCCTGCAGACGATCCGCCCATCTGACGCACGAATGAAAGAAGAAGAAAAACGGTTCTGTGACTTTTTGGACTTAAAGGATGTATGGAGGATTTTTTTTTTGTTTCAAATTGTCAGTGATAGATTTTAGAGATGCAGTAGCCTTGTAATTATGATGACCAAAAAAAGAGAATAAAAATTCATCAACTCTGGACGTGGTGGGGCTAAACATTTGCCAGTAGATAACGACACTGCCTCGTTACGCATGTGCAACATTTGAAAAAGGACAAACAGTCGCTGGATTTCTCGTTCCTTGGAAAATCCTCTATACAACCTTTAATGAATTGTTCCTAACGTAAGGCGAATATGACATAGGATATCCAATCAAAAAAAAAATCTAAATTAAAAACTGGGATTGGCAGTGGTTAATAATAAAACTGTGAAACCAGTGTGTAATTAAAGAAAACTGTTCTGCACTCGGCCCATTTGTGACAAACATGTGAGTCAGAGTCACATTTTCTTTGTGTTTTGGTCGTTTTTTTAAGCAGCTTTTCTGTATTTACCTTAAACAAATGACAATTTATGTCTCTTTACTGTCAGCAGGGATCAGTTTGGTCAAAAATATGGACACCTGGGATATTTCTTGTATTGGTGGGTTTCAGACGACATCACAACATTCTGTTCTGCCCCACAAAGACAAAAGACTGAGACACTGACAATTAGTTGCTATAATGAAGAAATATTTGTCTGGGAAAATATGGAGCTCAAAATTGACCTTTGACCAGGGGTGTGCAAAAATATCGAAATATCAATATATCGTATCATTTAAAGTGATGATACAGTATCAATATCATGGGCTGTCTCTCTTAACTGTTGGCAGGTATAAAATTGTTCAAAATAGGGACACCTGGGACATTTCTTGTATAAAACTGAGACAAATCACCCTGAATTTCGACTGTTGAATTTGAGGCCTTGAAAATATTTGTGCTGAATATTTAAAAAGTGAAATTTTCATTTTGAATTTGAAACATGTCAAAAAAGTACTCTTAAAATTTCAGCATAGCTTTTCAGAATAAAAAAAAAATAAAATCAAAGTGAGAAATTCAGCGGTCTTTAAAATTCTAAATCTGATGGAACATCGGCTCGGTTAGTCTGGACCAGGATCATTTTGAGACTCTACTGATACTGAGAGGGTAAAATTATTGTTTACCAAGAGTCCAGTGCAGACAGGGGCCCCTCACAACGTCTGTCCGAGGCATTTTTCATTAGACAACATGTATAAATGATTTGTACCCAGAGCTCAGGATTTGAAGCTACACCCCGGAAAATAAGTCCCTAGTTTCAGTGTTTTTTGTATCTGTGTTTTGATATTTTGGACAAACCCGAGAGGATGACACCGCAAGATCACGTTTGCGGAACAAAAACACGACTTTGACTTAAATAAAAGAGGATCTGAGGTCATAAACTCGATATGAGACACTATTGTTTCTTCTGTTTGTTTAATCGGGACACAGAGATCCGGTTTAGAGCGGCTCACGTTTCAGGAAAACGCTGCACAGATTTTTCCAGACGGGATTTGAAAGCAGCACCGGGAGAAATTATTTAACAAAATCAGGGAGGGCATCTGACACACGGGGAGGGCATCTGACACACGGGGAGGGCATCTTACAGTTTGATTTTGTTGAGTTTCTCCTCCTCCGCTCTGATGTAATCCTTCAGAGACAAAACCAGGTCTTTCTCCACAAACAGCAGCTCTGTCATCTGACCTGGAATTAAACACGACAAACGAGAAGATCAAATCATGATTCAGGAAGATTTGAACCAAAGTTAAGTCCTGGTTTAGTCCTGGTTTGGACCTGGTTTACTCCTGGTTCAGTCCTGGTTTAGACCTGGTCTAGTCCTTTTTTAGTTCTGTTTTAGTCCTGGTTTTGTCCTGGTTTCACCCTAGTTTAGTCCCTGGTCTAGTGCTGGTCTAGTCCTGGTTTAGTCCTGGTTTAGCCCTAGTCAAGTTCTGGTTTAGTTCTGTTTCAGACCTGGTTTGGACCTGTTCTAGTCCTGGTTTAGACCTGGTCTAGCCCTGGCTTGGTCCTGGTTTTACCCTCGTTTAGTTCCTGGTCTAGTCCTGGTTCAGTCCTAGTTTAGTCCTGGTTCAATATTAGCCCAGTCCTGGTTTAGTTTAGACCTGATTTAAACCTGTCTTAAACCTGGTTTAATCCTGATTCAGTCCTGGTTTAGACCTGGTTTAGAGCTGGTCTAGTCCTGGTTTAGTCCTGGTTTAATACTGGTTTAGTCCTGGTTTAATACTAGTCTAGTCCTGGTTTAATACTAGTCTAGTCCTGGTTTAATACTAGTCTAAAACTCAACAAATGAATAATCCACCTTTAAATGAGCCAAAATAAACTAAATATACAATAAAGTCCCGTACACAGACACAGTTCAGGCGCTCACACGTGACTTTCTCAAACAAGGAAAACAAAACTAAAGTAAACATTATATTTTAATAACATTTTAATCAGACTTTGGACTCACCGACGGAGGTGAAGAAATCATTTTGAGCCGAGGAGCAGACGAAGACGAGACAGTGAAAAAACAGAGACCAGCTCAGCTCCATCAGATCTGAACAAAAACAAAACAAAAACAAAAACAACGATGACGCAAAAGGTTTTTATTCACACAGAAAAAACTAAAAAAATTCTGCATAAAAGAGATTATCAACATGTCAGCAATAAATCAATTAGTCCTGGTTTGGTTCTAGTTTAGTCCTTATTTAGTTCTATTTTGGTGCTGTTTCAGTCCTGGTTTAGTCCTGGGTCAGATCTGGAATTAGTCCTACTTTAGTTTTGATTAAGTCTTGGTTTAGTTATGGTTTAGTCCTAGTTTAGTTCTAGATCAGTCCTGGATTAGTCCTGTTTCAATAGCGGTTTAGTCTTTCTTTAGTTCTGTTTTAGTGCTGGTTTAGTCCTGATTTAGTCCTTGTTTAGTCCTGGTTTAGTTTTGGTTTAGTCCTGGTTTGGTCGTGGTTTAGTTCTGATTTAGTCCTAGTTTAGTTCTGGTTTAGTCCTGGTTCCGTTTATTTCCACCACTGAATAGTACAAACATAAAACATAAGATCGCAATATAATTAAATACGATTAGTATAAAATAAGAAATAAAAAATATATTAAATAAAACCGTAAAATTTAATCGCGGTTTTAAACTTTGAGTGGCATTATGATGGGTTCAAATAAATAACGTAAATAATATTAAACTCAATAATTCTGTTTTCACATAAACTGAAAATAAAGGCAGAAACAAGCTGCTCTTGCTATAATCTACATTTTTTCATCATATTTCCAGCTAATAAATGTATAATTGTATTTTTCTGTCCCGTTACAAGTTAAATTGTTATTAAAATGCGTCAGGAGGGAAATTCTAGAACCCCGAGGATCCGTCACTGAAGCGGCTCGTTTTCGCCACATTTTGATTAAATTTAAACAGAATAAAAAGTGACATTTATAAAGACTCACCGCGGAGGCCTCGGAGAACACGCCCGCAGCGAAAAGTCAAAGGGAATCCAGTAAAATCCCTGAAAAAAGTCAAGTTTTGGAAGAAAAACTGAAAGGGAATCTGCTCCTGCCTGATCCGAGACGTGAACGCAACACGGAGACATCCGGTGCGGGGGAGGAGCGCGCCCTCTGCAGGAGCGGCGACGGTACTACAAAAACAAACACTTAAATCCTCACACAGAAATGAAATATTACAGAAATTACGCAAAAATAAATAAATACAATAATAATAATAATAAAACACAGATTAATATTTGACAAATAACAGTAGTAGTAGTTTTTAGTACTTCTAGTAGTTTAGTAGTTTATTCTGTCATTTTACAGCACTACAATAAATAAATAAATAAATAGACTACAACCTCGTGACCAAAAGGGTTTAGCCTGAAGTAAAAGTACTTAAGTAAAAATACTAACCCTATCACACAATGACAGAATACCAAGAAAGAAAAGCAGCGTATATATGCATGTAGAGTCTGCACACCTGACTGGGCGACAGGTACGTTGGAGGAGAGGTACTTTGATGTTTGCAAAAAACTCCCACACACTGTCTCACTCCTAATTTTTCTTTTATTGATACGACGTTTCAGTCCCCCAGACCTAAGGTTTTCTTGAAAACAACAAATAAAAAAATAAGAAAGCACCTTCTTTGAAACCTTGAAGTCATGTTTCATCAGAAACATCTGTTTCTTGAGTTGTGTTTTTTGGACAGAATTTTCCAAGTGTGATGTCGTCAGTGTGGAACTCTCTAAAACAGAACGCTCACCTTCCTGTAAATTTCAACAAATTTTTCAACTTTCCATCTCTAATTGTTTCTTGATTTGTCTAAAACCTAAATTTATATTTACAACAGTTATTGTTCTACCATTATTGTCATACGTACTTTTACAGAAATCTCTGCAGGAATCTGTGGGTTTTGAGATATTTAAGAATATTTTGCATTTTTAATTTATTTTTTATTCGTGTTGATTTGATATTTTAGAATTAAATGTTGATGGACTGGTGGCATTTAACCAGTGTCTATAATGGACTTTTTATGAACGGACAGAAGTAATGAAACCACAGTTTACGTTGAGTATCACATAAAACCAACAACACAAGTTTTTCTTATAAATATTTATTTCATATGAGTTTGATTTAAACATTATTCACACTCAGCTCTTTATGTACATGTTTTCACACAATCATTCCAGCAGATTTTCAACAGTCACATGAAATTTAACAAAATGTACTTTGATTTAAGGACCAGTAAAGTCCAGACCAAGTCTGGGGCAGATCCCAGTCCATGCGGGTTGTTCGGTGGGTTGGTAGTGGCTGTAGTATTTGTAGTTTTTGATGTTTTTCTGTGGTGCTGTCACTGCGGCTGGTAGCTGTACCCGGGCAGTGGGAGCCTCTGTCCCTCTTTAGCCTCAAAGAAAGTGTAAGACAGAGTGATGGTGTCAACTCGGGCCATTCTGGGGTCAACGTCAAACTCGGGGTCGATGTAGAAGAAGACGGGCATGTCCACCTCCTCGTGTGGGTTCAGACGCTGCTCCTCAAAACAGAAACACTACAGAGAGAAACAAGGAGAGAGGGAGAGGTAGAAGAGTGGAAGAGGGAGAGAGAGAAAAATCAGACCTGTTCTGCAAAATGGACTTTTCAGAGCACCACAGTTTTCTAAAGCAGAAGTCAGTGCACTTGTTTCTTTTATTAAGCCATTTTAGATCAATATTGTGATTTAAAATGTCCAAATTATAACAGAATGATCCACGGGGGTCAAAGATTGTGTCTGATCGAGATACTAGTATAGACACAATGAATTACACTTTAACACACTCAGTTTCTGTTATTATTCCATTAGTTCACTGAACTAACCTGAGGTGTGAACTGTCCCTGAGCCGAACTTTACATACTCATCTCTGACATATATTTATTTGGATCCAGTCCCAGATCAGAGCTCTGTCAGAACTGAACAAGCCTCTTGGATGAGTCAAAAACTCTTCTCTTCTTCAAAAACTATATCTCATTGAAGTACTTTTGTAGTACCTGTATCTTGTTGAAGTACTGTAGTTTCTGTAGTGTTTGTAGTATTTGTAGTACTCAAGATGTGTGAAGAATCCCTCAGTCATCCAGGTAGAATCCACGACAAAGGGAGAAATACAATTTGTCAACTGGGCAAAAGTTAGTTTGGTTTGAAGACGTTTCTCAGCTCATCCAAGCTGCTTCTTCAGTTCTGGTCAGACGCTGGTGACACTTCCTTATATCTGTCTGCAGGGAGGAGCTAACTACACTGAAACTACTCTGAAACTAACACTACTTACTACTTATTGACAGTGTGTTTGTTAGTTAGGCCTATTGAGCTGTACTGAGTGTGGGGTCTTATCAGCAGGATCATTCAGGGCCATAATGCAGCTTACACACCTCTGGACCTCCCCTGGCTAAACCTGTCGTTCTCTTGTTTGTTTTGATTTAGGTTTGAGGATGGAGCTGTAAATAGCAGATAATAATATTTTCAGTACCTGTATCTTGTTGAAGTACTGTCCGGCCTCGAAGGGCACCACGTTGTAGGTGGAGATTCCGATGATTGGTTTGTCCGTTGGGTTCTTCGCTCGGTAAAACGCCAGCGCCGTTTCCCCGGGAACCACCTGGAAACAAACATTTACACAATGGGATTTATTTAGTGATGGCAACTCAAAGATGCTTCACACAGCATTTTTCACATCTGTGTGTCTGTGTGTGTGTTGTGTGTGTCTGTTTCTGTGTGTGTGTGTGTGTGTGTCTGTGTCTGTGTGTCTCTGTGTGTGTCTGTGTGTGTGTGTCTTACGTAAATCTCGCTCTGTTGGGGTCTGAAGTTCCACTGGATGCTGGCGTGTGTGTCTGCGTTAAACGTCACTTTAATGACTCGCTCCTTCACCGGACTCATGCTCTCCACCAACGAAGAGTCGTGTCCCGCCACCGCCGTCCCCCCCAGACCCGTGGCCTGCAAGACAACCACACGTCACAAAGCGTCCTCTGACCTTCTGACCTTCTGACCCTCTGACCTTCTGACCCTCTCCTCTGCTCCTGCGTGAAGTCGCTCCCATCAAACACAAACCTACGCAAAAACTATGCCAATCGTTTGTGCTTTGTTTATGTTGCAAAAAGTTTAATTCGTGCTGCTTTAGTTTTGGAAATATTAACGATCCTTTTACAGGTCAAATCGGGGTCAGCGGCCTCCAGGAAACTTCAAAATGCTCTAAAACGACACAAAATTTTGTCAGTCGTTTGTGCTTCATGTGTGCTCCAGGAAGTTTCGTTTGTGAGATTACGGTTCTTAAGATATTAGCGGTTTTATTTTCATCCGATGACATCATCCCGCCACCCTGAAACTGTTAAAACGAGCTAAAAAAGTTGCAAACGATTACATAAATTCTTTCCAGACGTCCCCGTTTACCCGGGGACAGTCCCAGTTTTGAGCCTGTGTCCCCTGTCCCCGCAGATTTATACAAAACCACTGATTTATCCCAGGTTTATACAAGAAATGTCTCTATGATCCATGCCAACAGTAAAAAGAGGCATAAACAGTCATTTGTTTAGGTGAAATACAGAAAAGCTGCTTAAAAATGACCAAAACACAAAGAAAATATGACTATACTGACTTACGTTTATGGGCCTCATGGGCCGAGAGCAGAACAGTTTTCTTTAATTACACAATTTTTTTATTACCAAACACCACAAATTTGATTTTTAAAGTAATGTAAAGTGAAATAAATAAGTAAAAAATAAATTTAAAAATATTAACACAAAAAGTAAAACATTAACAGCACATAACAGCACAAACAAAACAGAAAAAATGTATGGAATGGTTTGTGATTTTTTTTTTTTAGCATGTTTTAACACTTTCGGGCGGGCTGGACGACGTCATCGGCCGAAAATAAAACTGTTAATATCTGAAGAACCATAATCGTACAAATTAAATTTTTTTGTTTTAGAGCATTTTGAAGCTTCCTGGGGACTCGCTGACCTCAGTTTGACCTGTAAAAGAATCATTAAGATCTCCAAAACTAAAGCAGCACAAATGAAGCACAAATGATTGAGATTTTTTGTGTAGGTCTGTGTTTGATGGGGGCAACTTGACACAGGTCTCCTCTGTTCCTCTGTTCCTCTGCCCCTGCTCCTGTCTGCCCCTGCTCCTGTCTGCCCCTGCTCCTGTCTGCCCCTGCTCCTGTCTGCCCCTGCTCCTGTCTGCCCCCGTCTCTCACCTGACAGTAGAGCCTGTACAGGGGCACTGCGGCGTAGGAGAGTCCGATCATCCCGACTCCGGCCGCGGCGATGTACGTGAGGACGGTCCTGTTCCGGGTTTTCCGCTCCTCTTCATCTCGTCGCGCTCGGCTCTTTTTGGATCGGACCTGGAGCCGCAGAGGAGCTCTGCCCTGGAGCAGAGACTGAGGACGGCCACAAATCTGAAACAACACAAAGAATAATGTTCTTCAAGCTCATCTAACCGTACAATAACCTTGAGCTCCTTTAGCAGAAGAAGCTCGGGAGGTTCATTATTTTAAAAGACACATGTTCCTATCCAGTGAGGAGCTCTGAGGTTTCCCACAATCCACTGCAGATCAAACCCAACGATTCCAAACACTATTGTACAAGTTACACTGCAGCAGATTATTGATTAAAATCTTCTCCCTAACTAAATTTTACATGACTAAACTTTACAACATATAAACATAACGACTCTAGATCCACATCAACCTGTTTGACATTATAATGTGTTTAATGCAGTTTTACGCACATATGTTCACGTTTACGAAACAAAACTTAAAACCACATGGCTCATTTGCTTAAACAGCTCACTCCTTGTGCTGCTCATGTGGTTCAGGTTCTTTTGGACTAAAGGACACGAATATGACGATGTGCTGCTGATGGTTTTGTCTGTAAATGGTGGAAAAGTTTAGTGGTTCTAGAAGCTTTTCACTAGCACCAACTTTGGGCGTTCACAGCGGCAGTGAATGAGACACAAGCGAGAAAAATCAAGAAGGCTTGCGCATAGAAAAGACAAACAATCGAAGCGGTGAAATCAGAATTGAATATAAACATTATATCGATATTTACGATATGTCAGAATCCATATCGAGTTAAAAAAATTTCTCCATATATTTAAAATATCGAGATATCGCCCACTCCTAAATGTATCCAAAATAAACTATATATCCAGCTGTTTTACAATCTCTATATTTAAAAATAAAATAAATACACTTATTTATATAAAAAACAAGCTTTAGTGTTTCAACTGGATTATATGAGTGTGGAGATCGTTTGACACACAAATTGAAATCATGATCAAAATTTGATTAATTGCACAGACTTCGCGAGTGGTTACTTAATGTAAAACACTTGAGTCTTGAAGGTGGAAAAGCGCTAAATAAAAATGTGAAAATTTACGGCAGGGAGGGCATCTGACACACTGGGACATTTCAGAATACGTTTGTGGAGTCTAAACAACAGGATTCGCATCTTTTAGAACAGCTGTGTGCACTGGTCTCTGTGTGTGATGTGCGACAAACAGAGAGAATAAATATTTTCCCCAGTGACGTACCGAGGAGTGCAGCGTCCGGACGATCACAGGGCACGACGTCGTTTGGAAAAGTCGAGAAAAAGACGAGGGACAAAAGACACGGATCAGAACCAGAGAGGAGAGCATGGTCCAACAACCGGAGTCTGGAACCGAGTCTGGACTGAATCTGGAACCAAGTCTGGACCGGGTCTGGAAAACCCTGAGGAGAGAGAGGAGAGGAGGTTTAGTAAATACACAACTCGGCCTGTCACAAACACAACTTTTGAAGCTCGAAATATCGTTATAGAGAAATAGAACAATAGAAACTACTTTTTTCCCCTGATACAAAAAGTCTCTCGCTGCACAGAGGCATGTATTTATTCAATTTTATCTTTTTTCTTTATTATTCATTGTTTACATTTATTTAATACATTTTTATTGATTTGTTATTGTTATGTATTTATTTTATTTTATTTATCTATTATTAGTGTGATCGGTGACTTCCGTAGATCTTAGTAGAGCCCGGGGGAGATCCCTAGATGACTCAAACATACATGGATGGATCTAAAACCTCTTCAGACGCGTTTTTGATGAGGGAACGTTAGAACACGGTAGAAAGCTTAAAAAATATATATCTAATAATAATAATAATTTTAATAAAAAGCAATAGTAGTACAGTAGTAATAGTAGTAAAAGTACATTTTGCAGAATATTCCCTCTTTAAAACAATATTAAAAGTTAAATATATGTTTAACAAATAAATACATGAACAAAATAACTTAATAAATAGTTCAGTATAAACCCAATTTAAAATTCAACTGATACAAAGGTAGAAGTTATTTTATTATATTTAATTTTTGTTTGGTTTAGTGGCCAGTTTTGATGCTAAAAGGTGAATTAAATTACTTTTAAACTGTAAAAGTAGATCATTACAAAGTTAAGACCCAAACGTTCCAATCCGGACTAAACCAGGACATAAACAAGACCCGGAGTGATTTAATTAAATTTTTAATTTTTTAATTTTCTTTTTTCATTTTTTTCCCCATTCATATATATTTTTTCGATTTTTTTGTTTTTTATTTATTTTATTATTATTGTTTTTAATTATCTTTTCCTTATTTTTTTTAATTACGTTTTTTCTTCATTTCAGATCTTATAACTGACCTACACAAGACCCTGTTAGCCGCGTTAGCATTAGCACCCAAATAAACAGGTTTTATATCTAAATTAAAATACTGAGACTCGTAACAGCAGCGGCACTTACCCGGTTGGTGTAGAATGCTCAGATTAATGTGTTCTGGAGTTTATAAAGATGATTATTTACGGTTTTATGGTTAAAAAACAGCGGAGTGAGCGGAGAAAAAACATGTTAGCAAAGAGCTCTGCGGGGCGGTCCGTCACTGAAAACAGTCCGGGTTCCTCTCAGGTCACGGGCGAAGGTTCTGAAATGTAAAACGGAATAAACCAGGGTGACCAGATGAGACTGACAGAAATTCGAGGCGCAGTTTTATTATTATTATGATTATTATTATTATTATTATTATTTATATATATTTTTGTAATAATAATAATACTAATACTACTACTACTACTACTACTACTACTACTACTACTACTAATAATAATAATAATAATAATAATGATCATTTATCATCTGTGAACTTCACCCAGAAAACCTAAATAAGCTCCACAGCAGGTGACTGAGTGAGTTGACACTGTAGGAGAAAAAAATCTAATAAACTGAATAATGGTTAGAGTAAATGAATGAAGATGTACAGTGAATCCTTCTCTAAAAACATTTCAGTACTGAGTGAAATGATGCAACTTTATTAGTGATGTTTGGCTCAGAGTGTGTGAAAAACCCTGACCCTAACTGGAAGTTGATTCAGTGAAGTAATAAGTACGGAAGCTGAGAGGGGTCACAACAAACGCAAACGCCACAACAAATGGCTTTTTTTGGTTTGTTGTGACTTTTTGTTGTGTTGTTGCATTTGTATTTGTTGTGGCGTTTTCGTTTGTTGTGACCCCTCTCGGCTTCTGTAAATAAGTAATAAAAGGTCTCTCCAGACTGATGAGTTCACAGAATATTTTAATTCATCTGAAATCTGATCAAATCTGAAATTCTATTTTTCTCTGAAGACGAAACCAGTGTCACTTACAGACAAATCAGAGTCCGGAGAGAAGAATGATCCACAAAACTTTATTTAACCTCAGAGGAAACAAATTCTTTATTGATTTCTCTTTGTTACTTGGGCTCATTGGGACCTGATAAGTGCAAAAACAAAGAATTATATGTTGTATAATATGTATAATTTTTTTTATATTTTTATATTTATATGTTCACATATGATATATAAAACATACATTTTATGTTTTAATTGTTTTGATGAAACACAATAAAGTCACAATTGAATAATGATTTGCAAAAACCATTTATTAAGGGCCTGAACAACCCAAAATGTGTTGGACATCTTTGTACACACATGTGAAGGAGGCTGCACAGTTATGAGACTGACAAAGTGATATCTGGGCACAGGACGTATGAATGTATGAACTGAATAAACTGCTGCAGTGTCCTTTAAGGTTTGTGTGCAAATCTGTGACATTAAACCCAAAGCCGACAAACTAAACACATTAAAAAGGTAAATGATGAAATATAAATCTGTGTGAAACAGTTTAAAAGAACAACAAGAAAACTCAGTGTTGAAGTGTGTCGTCTTTATTAAACAGAAAGTAAAACAGGACACACATCAGCAGGTTCTGTTGTGTATTTATATGTGTACAGGGCACACACACTGGCGTCCACAGCCGACGTAGCAGCATTTGAGGTTCTTGGGACACTCGCAGTCTGCTGCACATTCATCTTCACACGGGTGGGGGTGGTGAACAAAGGTGTGAAGCATTGGAGGAGGGCATGATCCTGGTTTGGATCCTGGTTTGTTCACTGTGAAGATAAACAGCATTTTTTTTTTTTTTTTTATTTATTTATTTATTTAAGAAAATAGGGACAAAACATAAAACAGCATAAAAACAGTGTCAGTGTTATTTTTACATGAACAGAAAAAATCGGATAATTTTCTGATGTCCAGAGTCTCCAGAGTCAAATAAAAACATTTACAGTGGAGTGAGTGATGTGATTTCTGTCTGATTGTTCAGAAATGAGCTGAAATTCCAGATTAACTAAACAAACACTGAAGAGAGTTTTACCAAATATGGGCCGCTGGCAGGTTTTCCCACAGCCGTTGGAGCAGCACTTCAGGTTACCAGGACAGTTCTGGTCAGAGTCACACTCATGGACACAGGTCCCGAACCCCTTTACAGCAGGACATGATCCTGGTTTGTCCTTAGGCACAACTGTGGACATTTAAGGGATTCAAATGTATGAAAAGTCTACAGATGTCTCCATGGTGGTGCTAAACCAGGTCTAAACCAGGACTAAACCAGGACTAAACATGCCGTGCTGCCGCAGCCCCCGGTCCGTGGTTGGGGACCACTGCATTAAAGCAAAAAAACTTGTGATTTGATATATTGTGACATCCACGATATTATTGTAAAACTTTTGATGATACGAAATCATGATATCTTGGTTATTACTACATCCCTGTGTCACCCTGCGGAACACCCTGCTTCATCTGGGATGTTCCACAGTGTGACTTTAAACTGATCTCTCTCCATGATCTGTATCCATTACAAAACCTGCATGAAAAATTACATTCCAAGAAGCTGTTCGTTCATAGAATTGGCTTCAAACTAGGGAAGCCCCAGTTGTTGGTGCAAAATGAAAAAACTAAACTAAACAAAACAAACTAAAAAAACTAAACTAGAGCCCAAATGACATGCCTGTTTTTTGTTGTTTTTTTTTTCTCTTGCCGCTCAGGGCTTCTGTATCAAACAGCATTTTGTCTTTACAAATGTTTAAAGGCCTTGAAGGTTTTGTGAAGTGAAATGGACTGACCTGTGTGAGCAGAGAGCAGAGTCACGAAGACCAGAGCCAGAGTCAGGACGCAGAGGGCGGAGTGCTTCATCTTCATCACTGCAGACACAGACACAAATGTTCAGCTCATGAACAGCTTCTATTTATTCACCTGAAGCTGTTGTAGAGCCGCCCCGCTGAAGCTCACATCAGCACAACCACTTGATAATCTACAGTTCACTCATCATTTACTTCATGTTGACCTCAATCAAAGTGTAAATAAACTCCAGTTGATATGATTTACTGATGACTGATTTGACACTTGGTAGATTCAATAAACAGTTTTTTGTTTTGTTGTGTCAATTTTATTGTGTTAAAATTCCACAAAACAAATCTTTTCCAGGACAAATATATGAATAATGTTTAGAGCTGCGTGGTTCTGTGATATTAAAACATACAGAGGGACTTTTGGATGATTTACTTTGTATTTGAGTCAACGAGATCAAGAGTCAAGAGTCCCCCAACCCCCGGGCCGCGGACCAGTACCCCCCTAGGTCTAAACCAGGTTTAAAACCTGAACGAAATCCAGAACTAAAACCAGGACTAAACCAGATCTAAACCAGAACTCAAACCAAGACTAAACCAGGTCTAAACCAGGTCTAAACCAGGTTTAAAACTTGAACTAAAACCAGGTCTACACCAGAACTAAAACCAGGACTAAACCAGAACTCAAACCAAGACTAAACCAGGTCTAAACCAGGTCTAAACCAGGTTTAAAACTTGAACTAAAACCAGGTCTACACCAGAACTAAAACCAGGACTAAACCAGAACTAAAACCAGGACTAAACCAGGACTAAACCAGGACTAAAACCAGGACTAAACCAGGACTAAAATCAGGACTAAAACCAGGACTAAACCAGGACTAAAACCAGGTCTAAACTAGGTCTAAACCAGGTTTAAAACCTGAACGAAATCCAGAACTAAAACCAGGACTAAACCAGATCTAAACCAGAACTAAAAACCAAGACTAAACCAGGTCTAAACTGGTCTGTGGAGGTAAAAAGGTTGGGGACACTGACCTGGATAATGGAAGGAATTGGATTTCAATAATCGTGAAAAAAATGTAAATATGATGTAAATGTGGAAGTGGAACGACCTGTTAAGAACTTTTACTCACGTAACTGACACAGAGAAATAATAAAACATATTTCATTTTTAGATTGGGCAGTTTATTTATTTCCAAGTGACAATGAGGAGAGAAAAAACAAAACCTGAAACCTGAAGTTTTTCTTTTGTTCATGTTCATCTTGAGATTCACTTCAAACACAGAAAAGTTTGTTTTAGTGACACATATTTTTATCAAACAAAGCGGCGACTCATAGTTTAGATAAACGTGTTTGTTTGATTGTTTGTACTTTTCTGTTCTTCAGTTTTATCTTTTATCAGTGACACAGTGAGTGTGTTTTCATGCATCAGTGTCCTGGTTATGAGAAACGTCTGGTCCTGAGCTTCTTGTGCTCAAGGAGTTCATGGTTGTTTGTATTTTTCTTGGTTTATTAAAAGCTACGGCACATTCTGTAGAACAGTCCCCAAACTATTTACCTCCACGGACTGGTTTAGACCTGGTTTAGTTCTGTTTTAGTCCTGGTTTAGTCCTGGTTTAGTTCTGTTTTAGTCCTGTTTTAGTCCTGGCTTAGTCCTGGTTTTAGTTCTGGTTTAGACCTGATTTAGTCCTAATTTAGACCTGGTTTAGTCCTGGTTTAGATCTGGTTTTGACCTGGTTTTGACCTGGTTTACCTGGTTTAGACCTGGTTTAGACCTGGTTTAGACCTGGTTTAGACCTGGTTTAGAGATGTGTATGGGGGGGTTCGTGCTTTTGTGGCCCGATACAATCACTTCGTAGAAACCATGTGACCTCACAGCATTAGGATTCGTTCGCTCGACGGTAGGCGGGAGTTTTTTATTTAACCAATCGCTGCTGTTTGGTCGTGACGTATGTAATGCTCCAAATCCTGTAGGAAGAAGAACAATAACGTCTTTCCCTGAGATAAAATTCATCAAACATTCTCTTTGTTCCGACTTTAAATCCTCGATCTGGGGAATCGTTGCCAACACAGAATGTCTGTCTCTTCGCTGATTGGCTGGTGCCCAAACTCGCACTTCTGGGTTTTTACAAACCGTCTGGTGTATTCTGATTCCTGATCTAGTTGAGGCACTAGGTGGCGCCAGTTTGGCAAACTCACTGTGTCCAAACAGAACATAAGTGCGTCACAATAAATGCACAGGCTCCTTCCAGGATGTTGACATGACGTTGACGTGTAAACATCTCAACATTCTCAGCAACACCTAAAATACCCAATAAAACCAAAATAATAAAACCCAAATAATAAAATCCAAATAAAACCCAAATAAAACCGAAGCCTGAGACGCTGAGGTGAGATCTGCAAAACACTATTGCATCATTACTGCTGCTGTTCAATAAACCGGATGCAGGACAGAAGAACCACGTCCAGACGACATCACTCGAGTCTAGAAATTATTTATAAAATAATTTTAGATCAAGAAACAAATAGCTGAATGTACAGTACAAGAAATGAGAAGACTTCCTTCACGCCAGACACTTCCTCCAGCTCCTCCGGGGAACCCCGAGGTGTTCCCAGGCCAGTCCAGAGACATAGTCCCTCCAGTGAGTTTTTTTTTTTTTTTTTTACAATAGTAATAATAATAATAATAATAATAATAATAATAATAATATAATAATAATAATAATAATAATAATATTAGGAATAATAATCATTTATCGTCTGTGAACTTCACCCAGAAAACCTAAATAAACTCCACAGCAGGTGACTGAGTGAGTTGACACTGTAGAAGAAAAACATCAAATAAACTGAATAATGGTTGGAGTAAATGAATGAAGATGTACAATGAATCCTTCTCTAAAAACATTTCAGTACTGAGTGAAATGATGCAACTTTATTAGTGATGTTTGGCTCAGAGTGTGTGAAAAACCCTGACCCTAACTGGAAGTTGATTGAGTGAAGTAATAAATAATAAAAACGTCTCTCCAAATTGATGAGTCCACAGAACATTTTAACTAATCTGATCAAATCTGAAATTCTCTTTTTCTCTGAAGATGAAACCAGTGTCACTTACAGACAAATCAGAGTCTGGAGAGAAGAATGAGACAGAAAACTCAGTTTGGACAGAACATTATTGAAGCTGCAGGATCTGGACGGCTGCTGCGTACGTTTGGCCAATTCAACTCCATCTCCACCCGGCTGCACGTCCACTCGTTATGTCTGTACTTGTGTGTTGATTATGTGCTGATGTGGCGGAGGTGTTTGTGTGTGTGTGTTTGCGTGTGTGTGTGTATATATATATATATGTATATGTGTGTGTGTGTGCATTGGTTCCATACTATGCCTCAGTTAAGGAGCATGGTCTGGGGGCTGTTCTCTTTTTTTTCTCCTCCTCATATCCTCATGTTTTGCTGCATTGTTTTCTTCTGTCTACTGGTCCGGTCCACGTCTAGTCGGCCCATGTCGTGTCTTATGTGTTTGTAAATGTACGGACGGGGCGACAGGTCCAACATCGATTCCTTTGTGTTTCTTGTACATGTGAAGAAACTGACAAATAAAGCTACATCAATACTCAACATTATTTTAAGCAGTTATGAGACTGACAAAGTGATATCTGGGCACAGGACGTATGAATGTATGAACTGAATAAACTGCTGCAGTGTCCTTTAAGGTTTGTGTGCAAATCTGTGCCATTAAACCCAAAGCCGACAAACTAAACACATTAAAAAGGTAAATGATGAAATATAAATCTGTGTGAAACAGTTTAAAAGAACAACAAGAAAACTCAGTGTTGAAGTGTGTCGTCTTTATTAAACAGTAAAACAGGACACACATCAGCAGGTTCTGTTGTGTATTTATTTGTATACAGGGCACAGACACTGGAGTCCACAGCCGCTGAAGCAGCATTTGAGGTTCTTGGGACACTCGCAGTCTGCTGCACATTCATCTTCACACGGGTGGTGGTAACGCATTGGATGAGGGCATACTCCTGGTTTGGATCCTGGTTTGGGCACTGTGAAGATAAACAGCATAAAAACAAAAAAATTTGATCATTTTCTGATGTCTGGAGTCTCCAGAGTCAAATAAAAACATTTACAGTGGAGTGAGTGATGTGATTTCTGTCTGATTGTTCAGAAATAAGATGAAATTCAAATGACCTAAACAAACACTGAAGAGAGTTTTACCTAAGACTGGCAACTCGCAGGTTTTCCCACAGCCGGTGGAGCAGCACTTCAGAACACCAGGACAGTTCTGGTCAGAGTCACACTCATGGACACACTTCCCAAACCCCTTTTGAGCAGGACATGATCCTGGTTTGTCCTTAGGCACAACTGTGGACATTTAAGGGATTAAAATGTATGAAAAGTCTACAGATGTTTCCATGGTGGTGCTAAACAAGATCTAAACAAGGAATAAACCAAGTCTAAACCAGGTCTAAGCCAGGACTAAGTCAGGAATAAACAACAACAAAAAAATCCTAAATAAAAAAAAAAAAAGTTTTTAACTTTTTAAAGAGAACAATAACACAAGAGAAAAATGCAAAAACAAGACAAAAAAAAAAAAAAACATTTTTGAGTTGTTAATACAAAATAAAACAAACAAAAAAACAATTAAGACTGATATATATATATTTATTTATTTATTTATTTATTTTTTCTTGGGGGGGAGGGGGGTTTATGAGTTGTTGGTGAAAAAAAAAAAGATGCAACAATAATGATGCAAATGATGTGCCTCTTTTTTTCCCCCTCTTGCCGCTCAGGGCTTCTGTACCAAACAGCATTTTGTCTTTACAAATGTTTAAAGGCCTTGAAGGTTTTGTGAAGTGAAATGGACTGACCTGTGTGAGCAGAGAGCAGAGTCACGAAGACCAGAGCCAGAGTCAGGACGCAGAGGGCGGAGTGCTTCATCTTCATCACTGCAGACACAGACACAAATGTTCAGCTCATGAACAGCTTCTATTTATTCACCTGAAGCTGTTGTAGAGCCGCCCCGCTGAAGCTCACATCAGCACAACCACTTGATAATCTACAGTTCACTCATCATTTACTTCATGTTGACCTCAATCAAAGTGTAAATAAACTCCCGTCACGCAGAAAGTGCAGTTGTTAGATTCGATACACAGGTTATATGAGAAATAAATATTGCAAGTTTTCTTTTTTATCATTCAGTGTTTTCATATTGAAGTGTTTTGCTGTGTAAAAATGCCCCAAATTGAATCTTTTCCCGGGACAATTATATGCATAATGTTTAGAGCTGCGTGGTTTGGTGATATTAGAAACATCCAAAGGGAGTTTTGGACGACTTAATCCTGGAAAAACATGTATCTGATCATGTTCTGATGATACATTTTTAGGTATAACTGGAAACCACACATCAGATACACACAATCTAAGGCAGGGCTCTCCAACCTTTTACCTCCGGTGAGCTCCTTTAAAAAACAAAAATGCCAGAGAGCTGTTCAGTTTAGAGGACGCAAAAATTCATAAGAGATGATCATAAGAAAGAGGGAGAGACTTTAGGTGCAGTTAGATGCCTTTGAAACATAAACTACGGTATATATATAGAAAAGTCCCTCAAATTTCCCTCTTCTTGCAATATTTATTAATTTATTTACTTATTAATTTATTATTATTATTAATCTTACTATTATATTTTTATTTGTTTTATATATATATATATATATATATATATATATATATATATATATATATATATATATATATATATATATATTATATATATGTGTATAATTTTTTTTTTCCCCACTGGAGACAATGGAGGAGGGTAATGGAGAATAAAAAATGGTCACATTATATTACTACTAATTGTTTTTCTTTGAGACATCTGCAGATAAACTTAAATAAATTAAATTAAAAATGAAAAATAGGATATTCATCAGCACAATGGTATAATTTTGAAATCCTTTGGTGAGTTACTTTGAAGGGGGTGGTGAGCTCCAGGTTGGAGACTCCTGATCTAAAGTCTCAAAAGTATTGAGCTAATCAACAAAGTGAAAAACCTTCTAAATCAAAAGGCTCTTTACATGTCGTATCGATCACTCATACTTCACACCTGACACTTTGTACTGAAATTTGGGGCAACAATGACCAAACTTTACTTCTTCCCCTTTTCAAATGACAAAAACGTGCTGTGAGAATAAAACATGAGGCTGGTTACCTGGATCATACAAATGAAATTATAAAAATGTTTTGAGTGAAATTCTACACTGCTTTGCTTTTGTATAATAGAAACAAAAATATGTTGCCATTAAAGATCCAAAAACTGTTCAGTACATGAAAAGTACACGATTAATGAAGGGGACAGGGTCAATTTAAAATAAAGTCTGTGAGAACCACCAGGAAAAAAAAAAAAAGGTTTGGGTTAAAATTATATTTAGTTTGCACAGTATGTCATTTATTTTACTGTATGTAAATGTTTGTAAAGTTCTGTGATCAATGTTCAGAAGCAAAACATCATTTT